TTAGTAAGCTACCGAGTTGTTTCCAAAAAGTCCAAGGAACAGTTTGCGAAGTGATACTGCAGTATTAACTCGAATGTTTAGATTAAGATACTGGAGTGTTGCGCACGCAACGGGACGCGAGGCAAAAGGAAGAATCTCTCTCGAATGTCGACTGTTGCACGAGTAACATGTAGCTCTGTGATATTGTAAAGAATAAAGTAATTATAATTGAACCAAGTATTGATTATAATCATATAATTATCGTACCCGAACACAACAGATACACAACCACTAGTTTTGAATAGTTCTGACAAGGATTCAGCTCTCCGAAAGCTGAATGCTTCCTAGAGGCATTCACGTGCTTAATACCGTCAACAAACATTCATTTATCATAACATTGAATAAAGTCTATACTTCCCACAAGAGTTCAAATCTTCAATTCACTGCACAGTGCTTTGAATACGGCCAATATTTTTTCATTTGCAGTGTATAACACTCACAGATGTGCCTATTTGACGAGCCACTTCACGTTGTGATGAACCACCTTGTATCATCCCAATTGCTCTTAATTTTTGTTCGTCACTTAGATGGTGCCTTTCCATAATAGTAAAAGTATTTTTATAAAAATTTGATGAATATTGGGTAAATAACACAAGATATACTAAATTGCACCGTTTAACGGGTACCCAGAAATACGATAAATAGTAAAAAAACATTATTTTTTGCATTAAAAAATGTCTTATACAGTGTGTTCTTTTATATTTAGTTATGTTATTTTATAATTTATAAGTTAAATTATTTAATAATTAAATTTAATTCGATTTTTCTGGGTGTTCCCTGGACACTTTGACTGTGTATAGATATAATATTTGTTTTTATTTATAAATTAAATGAAACATAAATTTCCCCGAAGCATGTTACTTTTTTATTTTTTCTTAAAAATTGTAATAGTTTTACTTTTTGTATCTTCCGAAAAAAGCTTACACTGAAGTGATACACCGTCTATATCTTTATAAAGATTATATAAATAGTGAAAGTGGCGGGTAGTTTTTATAGTAAAGGTTGTTAAAAACGTAGTTTGTATTTTTGTTCATAAGAATCAAGTTCCTTTTGAGAGCAAATTTAAATAATGACTTATGCTTATCATTGTCGCATTGTAGACTAGCACGATAATCTTGTCTTTTCACGCTTCCTCATAAGCCATCACATGCTCCTTTACTGTGAGATGTCGCGAAAAAGTTCAACCATTCAGCTTCAACATTAAAGTCGTTGTGATTAACTAAATTTGCAAAATTATATTTATTTTATACTGAAATTTTTTAATTTTATTTGCTCCGAATTTATTTTTCAATTAACTTTAAATTAAACAATAAACTGAGCTTGTGTTATAAGTAATTTTTTCTGAAATTATCACGTAATTTTTAAAAGGATTACAGCATTTATTCACCCGGCCCATAATATAATAAATATTAATAAAAATTATAAAGTTAATTAATTAATAAAATAGTTAAACGCAAATCTAAGAATTCTTGTGTTTAATTTTAATTAACTTATTTAACAAATGGCTTGTAAAATTCATTTGTTATTAACGTTTATATATAAAAAAAGAAGATAATTAAAAAAGTATCTTGCTATGGGACATTTATGTTTCATTTAATTATTTGTTAATTTTTAGTCTTTATTTATATTTAAAAACACATATAATATCCATTTGTTATAATGCTTAAATTAGAAAAATTAAATAAAACTGTTTTCTTACTACCTTGACTCAAAATACGTTGTTTCGTCCCCGATTTCACGGCAGAAAGTTTACGTTTCTTGCATTGGTCAAGCTATACGCGCACACTCTAATAGCGGGAGTAAAAAATTTTTAGTCGCGTGCTTAACATTTAAATTTCGTACTGCCAACATGAGAAACACAAAAATATGACAGTTTTAAACCATAATTTTGCAATTATTACAACAAATAAACAATTTATGTTTTTACTTTTTTACTTTTTATGTTGTTTTAAGTGTTTAATGGTACTTTTATTTGTTATAAAGTAGTAATTTGTTAATTAAAATACAACCTTTTATTTTTACTGTATTGGCACCGCTGAATTACCATGACAACGCTACAGTTTGATTGATTTTGAATGTAAACGTCAGAATTAAATTAAACGTCAGATTTTAATTTTGACACAATTTTTTTATATACATTTAATTTTTTCCCGTATTTTCTGCAGGGTAGTAAGAAAAATAGTATACACTACACGGGCAGAAAGTGTGAGAGTCCTGAACTGCGCGCCATGATGCCCTCGGCTTCGCCTCGGGCATCATGGCGCGCAGTGCAGGAATCTCACACTTTCTGCCCTTGTAGTGTAATATACTATTTTTATTGTAAACGATAAACGATTATTAATACTGATTGGAACGGCAGCTCGCTATACCGAAAGGGCTCGCGCTCGGGGATAAATAAATTCATATTATTTAAACTAATAGCGGGCAGTGGAATTTTCTTGCAGAATATTTAACTTAAGTGTACAATGCATGTAACTGAAATAAAACAAATTTATAATTTGAGTGAGAAGTCATTAAAATTTTTATTTGTTTATTTAAAAGTTAATTAAAAATATGATAATAAATAATTAATTTAAAATTTTGAATTATTTTCCAAAATGAGAATATTAAACAATAAATCGTGAAAATTTCATTAAAATATCTCGGTTAACCTGTTATCTATTTTTTAATTAAAAGTCTCCAAAATTTTCATTGTAAAAAAAATGTAGTTAAAATGATAATTTCAAAAAACTGTTTTAGGGTTTTATTATTGATGGTGACTGCTTTATATTAGAATATATTTATTTGAATTCCACGATCAAGTGGTAAATGGGGGGTCCACTTGAGATGGTCTTACTCTCTAGATTATTTTTAATCCGCGATTAAGTGCTAAAATACGTTGTACGAAGGTTAATCGAAGATTAACCGATGATTAACATAAAGATTATCGTAAGTTATATCATAAGGGCATTTAATTTTTCCGAAAAGAATCGAAAAAACACGTTGCAATTCTCCAATTCATTCGAATAAAAGTCGTATACGGAAATACCCAAATTTCGTACGGTTTTTGGTTTTTGGTATTCTCGTACAAATCGTATTCGTAAATTTTTATACGATCTACATCGAATGGTTCAAAGGCATACGAATCATAGTGTTCGTCCGAAAAGTTTTGACTTGAGACGTTTTATTATTGGTCTTAAGAGTTCTTTGGAGTTTTATTTTTTCGATATTTAATATGGCTCTAAATGAATTAGTTCAATTAGCCGGTATTGGCATTTTAGAAGAGGTTGAAGTTAATGGGCAAGCCCCCGGCAGAAGGTTCTTTCAATGATATTAGTGACAATGCATTTATTAAAACATATAGATTAAGCAAGGAAATGGTATCCGACTTAATTGATTTGTTGAGTCCTTACATGGTAGCCCCTTCTCGACTTTCTGACTTAACTATCGAAACTAAAGTACTAACAGCTTTACCCTATTGAAAATGCCATATAGAACCCATATTGAATCCGATAAGGAAACGTATCTGGTTCTATATGGTTTTATAGGTCCTATATGGAAAGTCCTGGTTAACATTACGGATTCTATATGGTTGAATATGGATTTCCATTTTAAAAATTTTCATATTCAACCATATAGGGAAACCTATCTGGAAATACATATAGAACAAAAACCAGATAAATCCATATACAACCATATACATGTCTTTATAAAGACATGTATATGGTTGTATATGGATTTATCTGGTTTCTGTTCTATATGTATTTCCAGATAGGTTTCCCTATCTGGTTCTATAGTGTTTTTATCTGGTTCTATAATGTAATCTTCTATCTGGTTCAATAGTGAAATGCCTGTTTCAAATACCTATATTGAACCAGATAGAAACCATATAGAATCCAGATACGTGTTTTTTATATGGTTCTATATGGCATTTTCAATAGGGTAAGGTTCTTTGCCAGTGGAAGTTACCAGTCAGATATAGGAAGTAATTTAAATCATGCAATTAGTCAGTCTTCTGTAAGTAGAAGTATTGAAGAAGTGAGCAGTGTCTTGAATGAGCCTCAAATATTTAACCGATTTATTAGAATGCCTCGAAACAATGAGGAAGTACAAAGGATTCGCACGCAGTTTTATTTGAATCACAACTTTCCTGGAGTGGTAGGCTGCATAGATTGCACTCATGTTGCAATATATCCACCTCAAATAAATCATGTTATGTACCCTGAGGTTTTATATGTTAATAGAAAAGGCTACCACTCTATAAATGTTCAACTCATTTGTGATTCGGATTTAAAAATATTAAATGTAAATGCAAGGTATCCAGGGAGCACTCATGACAGTTTCATTTGGAACAATAGTATGGTGCTACAGTACATGCAAAATCTACATAGAAATGGAATGCATCTATATTTATTGGGAGATTCGGGCTATGCAGTAAGACCATGGATGCTAACACCAATACTGAATCCCCCGCCAAACTCCCCAGAAAGTAGGTATAACGAGAGACAAATGAGCACTAGGTCTCTTATCGAACGCTGCAATGGCGTTTTGAAATTACGATTTCGTTGTCTATTAAAACATCGGGTGCTTCATTATGGACCTGAAAAGTGTTCCAAAATTATAAATGGGTGTATAGTGTTACATAATATATGCATTGAAAGTAATCTACCACCAGTAGAACAAGCAGAGGAGGACATCGATGTAGATTTCGGTATTTATGCACATGAAGGAGACTTTGAAGAACCTGTGGTTGGTGGAAATAGGGTGAACCCTGATTTAGCAGCGGGAAGACTATTACGTTCCAGAGTAATTAGAAATTATTTTGGAAGGCCATAATAATGCTATCTATCTTTATTTTAAAAATAAACAGTTAACCAGATAATTTTTTTATTATTAAACTTCAAATAATTTATAAAATAAATATGAAATAAAATATGCAAAAACAACAAATTATATTTTAAGTATTTGGAAAAACACATATTCTAAATATCACATACATCTTGTAGATGGTGCTTGTCCATTTCTTTGGTTTTAAAATGTGCTGCAATGGATTCTAGGGCGTCTGCGATTCTTTTCTTGGCATCTACCTCTTCTTGGTAAAGCTGAAGTTTGTTGATATAATATTCTTCCTTTAACAAAATTTTTCGTTCTGTTTGCTGGGATAGTTTCTCGGTTGCCGTAATGGTGTGTTCCAGCCTTTGGATACGCCTTTTTCGAGATGGTATTTTGCTACCATTTAATTTTGGTTGCTCTGTTGGTTTACTGTTTTCTTTATTATTGTTTAAAATAACAGAAGGAACGATAGGCTTCTGCTGAGGATTTTCGTTATTTGAATTATTTTTTGTTTCACTGATATTTACAGTTTCAGGAGCTTCAGAATATTCTACAATTATATCACTGTCGTCAAACTCTACCAAAGATTCCTCTACATTCTGTCCTTCAACAGCGACTGGTCCAATTATATCCAAAATTTTTTCATCATCTGTATTTAATTGTGTATTGATGGAGGGGCCACCACCAGTACACTGTGTATAGCGTTTTATAGAACTTTTTTTTGATTTTGTTGCAGCCTTCATGTCGTGCCAAGTCTGAAGAAGAAAAAGGGATATTTAACTAACAAAGCATTAATTGCCGTATATAACATAATATGTTTAGAAATTTTTATGACACAAACTTACTTTACGCCATTTTTTCCAATCCTTAGTAGCTCCTGGCACTGCATTTAAATTATTTGTCAATTCTTCCCACATTTTCCTTGCATGTTTAAAAGTAAATGTTTGTGTGAATTTTCCATTTTGTAATTCCGGGTGTTTTCCCATAAATTCTATTAATTCAGTTTTTTGACTAGCTGAAATGTTACCTCCACGTTCCATCTTTTGATGCCACTCCAAACACTATAATAAATAAAATAAATGATAAAATGAAATAAGGCACTTATTAAATTAAATATTTGTCAATTGAATGTACTTACCGGCTTTATAAATGATCTTGTTTATATTCTTTTTCTATGTTTATAAGGTTAACATCAAAAATCAATCGACAGTTAGAGTTTTCATTAACGTTTTGTTGGTAAAACTGATTTGTAGCGCTGTTGCCAATTTGCTTTTCCGATCAGTCGGATTTGCTTTTCGTAAAAGTGAGGAATACAGTCCGTTCAGGCTAAGTTGAGCGCTTTGGTGGGGTATCTTGTGACCGTTGATTAAATTAAATATCTAATCCTCGCAAGATTTCGGTAACAAGAAGATGATTTATCAGTGCCGGGGCTTGCGGTTTGTTGGTACAGAGCGGCTACCGAAATACATGTATTTAATTGTGACTAAACATAGAGATGATGGACGGGGTGACATTCCTAAGACCGCTCAACTTAGCCTGAACGGACAGTACACTTTATAATCCGCATTCGATTTTCGCCATACGAGTATTGTCGTATACGACTTTTATTCGAATAAACTGGAGAATTGCACAGGGGTGACAACAAAAATCCGAGTCGAAGAGGAGGATTTTTGCACCTGCACGAATGCATTTTGTTAAAAAATATTACTTAGCATTTTATTTTTTCGATTTTTTTCACAGCAAAAATTAGATGCCCGAATGGTATTTGACAAGACTATTTCATGAGTAACAGTTAACAATTAAAATATAAATTGCAATTTTTGGTGACAACAGCTGTCAAGTTTTGCAGCGGGTAAACTCGAATAAACTGCTGACAGGTGCTGTCACACAGTTTTTTCACCTAGAAACCATTTAGTAGAGGATCCCAAGTAAGGTCGACCTTCACCCATCTGCTTACCAGATGAAAATTATATTTTATCAAATAAAATATGTTTCTGAACATAAACCAATAGGGTTGCCATAAAAAATATGATCAAGGCTAGCTATAATAAATAAAAAATTAAAAAAAAATAATTAATTTTTTAAATTTCACCGACTTGCTTGTCAAATGAACGAAATTCCAATGGAAAGCATACAACATACAGAATATGTAACAGCTAGGTTGCCTACCTTTTTCTGGTCCCTATTACCTGGTTGCTTTGTACAGGGTGATCCCCTATAATGTCGCCCCCCTTTAACTTTTTTATTTTAAGTGTCCCAAAAAATTTAAAAGTGTGGTTATGTAGGAACTAAAAAATACTTTTTTTCTACGTATAAAGAAAATTGGAAAATTGATCAGTATACAGGGAAAAACAAAAAGTTTATTTTTTTTCAATGGATCACCGTATATATGAATTTATTTTTCGATTCCTTGTAAAATTCTGAGCATAATTTATATAACAAACCATATACCTAAATTCAACCGTTTCTGAAATATTCGCATTCGAACTGTCATCATTAAATGTTTTTTTAAACTGTTAGAAATCAAGAAGCCTCAGTATACCAAAATTTTTATTGAAAATAAATTACTATAGTGACATTATGTCAATAAGTGTTGTTAAATAAGTAAAAATGGCGTACTCAGACAGAGAAAAACAAACTATTTCAACTTATTATCTTAAAAATAATTTAAATATTTCAGAAACGGTTGAATTTAGGAATATGGTATGATATATGAAATATGCTTAGAATTTTACAAGGAATCGAAAAATAAATTCATATATAGGGTGATCCATTGAAAAAAATAAACTTTTTGTTTTCCCTGTATACTTATCAATTTTCCAATTTTCTTTATACGTAGAAAAAAAGTATTTTTTAGTTCCTACATAACCACACTTTTAAATTTTTTGGGACACTTAAAATAAAAAAGTTAAAGGGGGGCGACATTATAGGGGATCACCCTGTACAAAGCAACCAGGTAATAGGGACCAGAAAAAGGTAGGCAACCTAGCTGTTACATATTCTGTATGTTGTATGCTTTCCATTGGAATTTCGTTCATTTGGCAAGCAAGTCGGTGAAATTTAAAAAATTAATTATTTTTTTTTAATTTTTTATTTATTATAGCTAGCCTTGATCATATTTTTTATGGCAACCCTATTGGTTTATGTTCAGAAACATATTTTATTTAATAAAATATAATTTTCATCTGGTAAGCAGATGGGTGAAGGTCGACCTTACTTGGGATCTTAGACTAATTTGTAATTCAAAATTGCGCGTTTGTGATTGGTGGAAATTTAGACGAGGGAAATAGTCGGTAAAATTTAACTCGCCAATTTTGGCAGTTTAAACGTTGAATAACCTCACTTTTCTGTTAAAGCTTAAAATTATACAATAATTATTGCTTTCGCGCAAATAGAAGAACTTGAAGAACAGGTTTGTAACGCCATATGATGATATTTGTGTTCATATTGTAGCGGCATTACCTCCACTACTCAGGCAAACAAACACTGTAAAAACAGGCAAAAGTTTAAATTATTTTAATTACAATTACGTGAAAAAATGTACGGATTGTCGAGGCTCACATTTAATCCTACCGAAAATAAAATAATCCCACAACCAAACTTCACAATACCATAAACATTTCTTTATCCTTCGAAGAATTTCTAGCCGAATTAATATCCAAAATCCAAGCAATTTGGAAAGCCCTTGCATTAGCTCCAAATTTCAGGTCGACGTACAAGAGCAGGTTAGAGGCAGGTATAACGATACGCATATCGATATAATATCGATACATATTCTGCAAACACTGAATCGATATATCCTTTGCGTATCGTTAGTTTATATCGTTAATTTAAAAATCACGAATTAAGCAAAATAGAAAATATGCGAACGGAAAAAAGTTAAACCCAAAGACGTAGATAACTTTCTCTGTCTTTGGTTAAACTCTCTATGTCTATGGTTACACCAAACATATTCGCGAAGTAAGATACAAGACAAATAGTATTAGCTACGTTCGCAAAGCGATCAGAATTGCGATTGTGATTTTTTCGGCCGATGTGATTGATGCAATTCAAATAAAGAAATCCAAGACCTTGAAATACGCCAATCAGGACTGCCATAGGAATCCCAAACTCGTCCCGGATCGCTGTGCGAACGAACCTATTATTTTAATTTTTTTATTCAGCTCGATATTATCGATAATATTTTTTTTGTATCGATACTGTATCGATACACCCCCTGTATCGTTTTACCTGTCTCTAAGCAGGTAACGGCCGAACTACCTGTATCTAAAATATAAAACCTTGTCCTATCCTAAGCTAATGACCAGTAACACTCAAGACTCAGAACAGTTCCACCATCCGGTCGACATCATTCAGTCAAGTTCCAAACTATCGAGCCTCGACATCCAACTTAAACGCTGTTGTAAGTTAAACCACTATTTTTTCATTGTAAATAAATAACGTACTACGATCAACACAAGTGTTTAAATTCACACGCAAAATACCTCACTACAACCCCTGCAAATTGGTGACCCCGACGTGATCGTGAACATTTGTGACTTTTTATTTTGTGCATAAACGTGCAGGGCGCGTAGTGAAAACAATAACACTCTTCTGAAATATATCAAAGTTTTTTTGTGTGACAAAATGGTGCTAGGCCGTGACGACGAGGAACGCGAGCGAGCTGAACTATTGCGCGAACGCGAACAGCTCCGAACAGAACAAGAAGAGTTGCGGCAACAACAGGAAGCATTCGCGAAAGAACGCGGTACGGCCCCCAAGGTGCAAGCGTTAGCCCCCAGTGTCGACCGCGTGGCCGTTCGATTGCCGCCCTTCGTGCCGAGCGACCCGGAGCTTTGGTTCAGCATGGTAGAGCGCAGCTTTTCCGCAGCCAAGGTCATGACCGACTCCACCAAGTTTGGCTACGTTCTCGGCGTCCTCGACCCGAAATATGCCACTGAAGTCCGTGACATCATCGTCAATCCACCGGACAAAGACGCATATCAGACCCTCAAAACAGAGTTAATTAAACGTCTCAGTGCCACCCAAGATCAAAACACCAAGCGGTTACTAGAACGCGAGGAGCTAGGCGACCGTAAACCGTCACAATTCCTCCGCCACCTTCGCAACCTCGGCGGCACGGTAGTATCGGAAAACGTTATCCGTACCCTATGGATAAGCCGACTTCCGACGGAGACCCAAGCCATCTTAGCGACGCAAAAGGGCGCCACATTGGACACCGTGGCCGACCTCGCCGATGCCATCGCCGACGCACGTCCCCACGGACCGCCCCAGGTAGCCGAGATGACAAAGCAGTCTCAGGAGGCGCTGCTTAATTTAAAACTGGCCCAACTAACTGTCAACCTAAGAGAAGATATCCTGTCCACCATCCAACAGGAGATCGCAGCGCTGAATTACGCTCCACGCGACGACCGTGCCGGACGCAAGGGATCGCGCGCACGTTCGCTCCCTCGATCACGCTCCTCGTCTCGGGTACGTACGCCAGCTCAATCCGGGATTTGCTACTATCATTGGCGATTCGGCGACAACGCGAAGAAGTGCGAACCGCCATGCTCAAAGGCGGGAAACGACCAGGGCAGTCGCTAGCGACGGCAAGCGACCCTCGCCCGACAACGTCAACACGCCGTCTCTTTGTTACCGATCGCCACACCAAAACGCGTTTCTTAATCGACACTGGAGCCGATCTCTGCGTGTACCCCAGAACAATGGTTCCTGGCCCATGCAGGCGATCAACGTACGCACTATCAGCGGCGAACGGAACAGCCATATCAACGTACGGCACCATAACGTTGAGTTTAAATTTCGGTCTACGACGCGCGTTTCCCTGGAAGTTTGTGATAGCCGACGTCGCCAAGCCCATCATTGGCGCGGATTTCCTTTCGCACTACGGATTGCTTGTCGACTTACGGCACGAACGTCTCTCCGATCAGCTTACCAACCTCGAGGCACGCGGACAGACAACCGACAGCGACATTAGCAGTATCAGGACGGTACCATTGCCGGATTGCAAATATCAGGAACTGTTACTTCAATTCCCGGA